CCCGCCGGAGCCCAGGGCTGGGGGATCCTCTCCCGGCGGGAAGGGCCAAGGGGAGCCGGAGATGGCAGCTTGCAGCAAGGAAACGGAGCTGGGCAACAAGGAGGCGGGCAGAAACCTCCTTCTCTAGGGAGCCCCAGCCCGGCTCAGGAAATTAAGGGGTATTTTGCATCAGTCATGTTCTAGGAATGAAGGGAAGGTGGGGAGAGCGAGCGTGCGCGCAGGAGAGGGAGGCAGCAATAAAACCCAAAGCTCGGAGCCTGCTGCGCCGTTGGAAAGCCCTGGGCTCCGCAGACATTCCCAGCGCGCAGCTGCGGCGCTCCCGGCCGCCCCCCTTTCCCTTCGGTGGCCTCCAGCCCAGGCGGGACTGGAAGCAGCCAGGAGGGAGCCCCAGCCAGCGCGGCGCTCTCCGGAGCGGGACCGCTAACCGCGAGGGGGTCGCGGCTCAGGGAGAAGATGGCGTAGCACGAGCTGGCGGCAAGGCCTCGGACACGGCGCGCGGGGCTCGGGGACACGAGCGCGCGGCCATCGCTGCTCCTCTCCGGGGCCCCCATCCAGATCCCTCCATCTAAAGCCTCCCGATAGGGAGGATATTCAGAGAGAAGCAATTGTGGGACTCAACAGCAAAGGTGGAGAATAAGGATGGGGGCCAGGGGGCAGCAGCAAGAGAAGGGCGAGAAAAGGGAACCCCTCAAGCACGTTAGGTATCTCGGTGGCAAGGATAACAAGGAGTTTGTTACTAGGGGAGGCACAAAGATTGAGAAGATTCAATAAAAGCAGCTGCTCACTAAAGAGCCAGGAAGATGTCACAGTAGTAGAGCGGATAAAGTAAAATCTGCTGCCTTGTTTAATTCAGTTATTGAGAGAAAAGGCCTTCATGAAGCAGTGATAAGTCTTCCAAGATCACAAAGGCCAGAAATTCAACACCAAAGTGAATTTTCTACTATAACCCCCCTGCCCTTACCCAAAAGGGCATGATTTAGTTAGGTCACTTTGATGACCTTAATCACCCCCATCTACTACAGCCCACAGAACCACAACAACAAAACGAAACGGAGACCTAAGAACACAAGCTTCAGAGACTAAAATACCAAAAAAGTGACCTCATCTTCAAGACCTGCGGTAGTGCACACCCCTTAGGGCAGAGATGTCTTGTCTCCAAACCATCACAGATTAATGATGCTGCATAACAAAAGGAAACACCTTCATGTATTGCTGTCTACACGTGAGCATCCCCCAGCTCCAGAGCAAAATCCTCCTCTGTGCAGCAAGATCAGATGCTGGGGCCAAAGGGACAAGTTTTGCTGCAATTTCCCCAGAAGGGAAAATTGGAGAGGGCGATTCTCCAGCAGAGCAGGGATCTCGGTACGAAGCGCTCGCCTGTCAGGCTAAGCCCAGACACACACGTGCGCTTCCTGCAGGGACGCGGTCCCCTCGGGGCTGCAGGCCTAGCCCGGGGACACACGTGCCAGCAATCACACGTGCACCCGTGAGAGCTTGGCCTTGGTTGGCAAACAGCACGCATCAAACGGGATTGGAGGATTCGGGACGTCTGCTCTCCTACGACAAGGGATTCTTGGGGTCTTCCCCACTGTATCTTTTAATCCCCTGTGCAGAGTTCATAGGACACGTATCTGCGCAGCGTCTGGGGCAAGAGGGGCTCTCTGAGGGCAAGGGGAGACAATTGCTCCTCTTTTTAATTTCTCTCCCAAGCTCCCAGGGCAAGTTCTCTTCCCCACTCCTTCATTTTGTGGCACAGGGTAAAAAGGGAGACACAGATCGTGGGCGTTTTGGCTCGATGAGACTCTGACCTGCAGAGGACCTGCTGTGCTCCTGCCTGCCTGTACACACCACAGCTGCCAGGCCCGAACCACACCAGGGCCGCCCCACGTATCCCAGAGCCGGGTTACTGTCCAGGCCGTCACCGAGGCCAGGACTAAAGAGACCATCCAGGATGGTAACTCTTTGCCCAAAACTCCTACTCATCCCACTTACAATTATCCTTACTGGACATCCATCAGGAAAAACACATCCCAGAGAGGCTAGAGACGTTTGGTTCCAGCTGCATTTCTGTTCAGTTGCGCAGGTGTCACTGAGTGGGAGATGAGAGGGAATAGATTTACCGTTCACATAGCCCAAATCCTGGAAAAGGAAGAGTACTTAGGAAGGACCCACTGGATCTCACAGGCCTTCCCAGGAGCAATACTTAACAAAGCCAAGTTCGAGACTTTGATTCCAGAGTGAGCTGAAGAGCCCCTGGCACCCTCTCCTACCTGGATCTCTGGAGTGACCTTCTGGCCCTGGCACCGCTCCGCAAACAAGCCTGACCCAGAATGGGAAACTGCATGGAGAACTGCAGGAGTTTCTCTGCATTCGCTCTCCCTGCCCAAACCATGCTTCCAACCCCCAGATCAACGTTTTGAGACATCAAAGGATGCTTTCTCCAGGCCCCTGAAAGTTCAATGACACTTCCAGTCTCTTGGAATTGGAAATCAGGACAAACGGGAACTCCCAGCCCAAGCCTCTTCACTCCTGGAGCTCAAACTATTTTAGCTCCTGCACGGTCCAACCCAAGCATACGAGACAAGTGCAAGAAGTGACAGCGAGAAAGACAGACTTGTGGAAAAATACCAAAGGAAATGACCTTCATGGAACCAAAACAAAAACCACAGATAAACAAGCAACCAAAAGCTGGGTTTGTATTTGAGATGGGATGCAAAACAGGCCCAAAGAGGCCTCAGGTGAAAGGAAACAAATCCACTTGGAAGAGGAAGTAAAATCCTGGTGCAGTTACTATGGTTCATATTAATGCTGAGAGATGGGGAACTATAGGAGGCTTGGCCCTGTATGACACTTACCTCCATCTGGATACAGGCAGATGGAAGAGCCCACACCACAGAGAGCTGTAACGCAGCAGCTCCCACTGATAAAAGGACTTTGCAGAGAGCGTCTGCAAAAAAAGTCTGGGAAAAGCATTTACTGAGCTACAGAGGTAGCAAAACTCAAAGGTCCCAATATCTTTTTATGGAGAAGCCTATTAAACAGGCTTCAGGGCTTCACGGGGAACTCCTTGCAGTTCTCCAAAGAAGTCACCTCTCCAGGCTGACTGAAAAGCAAGAGGCTCCCGTGCAGCACCAGGAGCCTGCACACCGGCTAAGATGACAGTATGTGAAAGCAGGAGCTGCAGAGGCTCCAGGGGCTGTGGAGGAGCAGGTTATGGTGGTGGTGGCTCCTCTTGCTGCCAGCGCACACAGAACGGCTGCGGGAGAGAGCTGTGACATCCAGGAAGACTCTGCGTGCCCCGTGCCGAAGGTGGGTTTAGACCTTCCTTTTCCGGCCTATGGCTGAGGGACGCCAAGTCAGCCCTGCTTTACTTAACAGCAGGCAAAGCCCCTGCCAAAAGAGCGCTGCTGCTCTGGAATGTGCTGGGCCAGCAGTACAGCTCATTCCTGGAAAAGCATCAACTCAGCAGGAGAGCAAGGAGAGGAGAAGAGGGGAAAAAAGGGGAAGAGGGGGAGGGTGGGAAGCAAAGCCCGAGAGCTCGGACTTCCACACCTGGGGACGAAGGGAGTCACCCCGGAGCAATCTGCTCACCAGCACCCCCTTCTCCTGGGCTCCAAGCACCGCAGCCCTGCCCAGCACCAGCCCTCTGCTCCTGGGGCACGTTTCTGCTGGGCAGGCAGCTCCCGAAGCAGCCCAAGAGGCACAGACGGAGGCAGACGTGCGGGGAAGAGCAGCGAGGTTCATTTCCCCCATCCCATTAACAATTCATTTATGTTGAATGACAGATCTCCCCCAGGAGATGACAAAACAGCCTCCACATGTGTCCTGCCCTCAAGGCACTGGCCAGCTCACACTACCCTCTCCCAGCACAAAGAGCTTTGTAAGAGGCTCCAAGGAATTCAGTGTAACTGCCTACCTGTCTGGAAAATGGGAGGTGAAGAATTGACCCTAGACCACAAGCTACTGCCTGCATCTGCTCTTCACACCCAGCTAGGCTGCTAGCAGCAGCATCTCTGCTATCTGGGTCTAGAAGACATATGGGCAACCCCTATAAACACAACAGGGAGTTAATAACCTCAAAACTTTAAGTTCTTCCGCAAAACATTTGCCAAAGACAATGAGAAGGACTCACACAAAGAAGAATATTTCAGAGCCACAGCAGCTGCATAGTGGCAAAGAACAAACTCTGTTCCCAATCTCTGACTGTCCCAACACTCCGGAGAAAGGGCAACCAACAATACTAGACCTCTCTGGCCCCAAAACACAAAAGAGAACATAGAGGGCATGAAGGGGATGAATTTCCAAACATGGCCGGGGCAGGACGTGTGTCCTTTCTCTTCCTCACCTTCAGGCACTGCATAACTTTGGCACAACCTGAAATTCCCACTTCACTCCCAGGTAACTGTCAGCAAGCCAGAAAAAAGAACTTGGAAAAAAACAAAGTACAAGAGCCACAGTTCAAATGACTGGCTCTCAAATAGGTCTACTAGGAGATGAATCCAGTCAGAGGTGGAGAAAGGCCAGTTTTGCTTGGTCGGCACCTGATGGTGCCAGTGCAGGGAACGGTACAAGAAACTTCCTGTGCAAAGAGCAAAAGGAGCACACACTTTAGCAGCCTTTTACATACCTCATTTATTTCAGCTAAAATTAGGCTTCTACACCAAGCTGCCTTCCAGAGGCAGGGCCTGGCCCTTGACCAATACAACCAACAGAGCAATCTCCTACCAAGCATCACTTGCCAGGCAACCAAGCCTGCTCTTGCACTTAGCACCCAAGAAACAGGAGAACACTGTTTGATTGCTGGAAGAAAGACACAAGAAAGATGTTCCCGTCCTAACCAAACCAAGCACGCGCTGGCACACAACCCGCACGACTAGAGGCCCAGAAAGTGGGCAAGAGCTGAAAAGCAGAAGCCAATTACTGGGAATGAAAAGGAAACTGATTAGCCAAGAAGTGAGGAAAATGTGAGCTGTCTCCACCCTGCTGCCAATTTGTTTGCACCAATGAAAACACCCACTTTGGTTTCTCTGCTTTATGAAAGTCCTGGACCACAGGACTCCTCCTGACACCTGATGGATGAGCCGCTGAGCGCAGGAATCTCCAGGCAGTCAGGAGACTGGTGTTTGTCCAGGATCCCTCCAAAGAAGCGTCAGAGATTTATTGAAACAGGGTGCAGGCCGTGGTTTCGGTTTGGAAAGAAAGCAATTTTCTGCAAGTAGCAAAGTTCTTTGTTTCAGCAGCCAACCTCTAAGTGATTAGAGTGGCATTAGTCAGGAGTCCATATGTGAAATGCCAGGTACAGAACTGAGCCCAGATCCTGCTGGGACTTGCCTCGAAACTAGGGATCAGCAACCTTTTCAATGAGAGGATAAGTTTCCCCATAGTCTACGGGATGATGGTGCTTCAGATCCCCACAGAGACAGACCCACCCTGTGGGACTTGGTCCAGCCTGGAGCTGCTGCCTTGCTCAGACACTGGAATCCCAGGCCTGGCCCTGTCTCATACTATTGAAAACCTTCCCACCTGCCAGCTCCAACTGCACAGGGGTGGGTGACTGTCAGTGAGCTCCAGAAGTCACTGTCACAGATGGCACAACATGTTCCTCTTGCTGAGGGTCTCAGTCGAGGCTGCCAATGCCCAGGTCCTTCAAGGATGGCAGGGGGACAAGAAAAGGCAGCACAAACTACCCGCAGTCTGTAAATGCCCCATGAGCAGAGTGGAGCTCGCTCTCCATGTCAGCCTTTCCCAACACCTGTTCAGAAAGGCCCATCACAAGTAATTACAGCAGAAGGACCATTTGCTGTGTCTGTAGATTTGCCAGTAAGGAAGCAGTCTGAGCTTCCTGATTACCTGTGGTACCAATTCTGAATCTCCATGGAGCAACGCTCCTTTGTAACTCACCATCAAGCACCTCGTGGCAGCACCACATCTTGGCTGACCAGGATCTCACATGTTCCCAATGGATAACATGGCCAGACACACAAACATGAGCAGCTCTTCACCCCTCACTACACACAACAGGTGCCAGAGCACAGTACTAACTGCAGCAAAGGTAATATTACTTCCAAATCAACTGGTCCCTTCATGTATCTCATAATGGCCACAACAGCACATCAGAAAATAAACTGATGAAGTTGGCTCCTGTATTTTTGCATGAGAAGTTCAGAAACACACAGACATGCAGGGCAGCGAGTCTGACCCAGTTTGGGGACATCAGACACCCTTCACAGATGTTACCTGCTTGGGCACTAAGCATCAGATGCCCTGAGGAAACCCAGGAGAAGGTAGCCTAAATCAAGCAGACGTTGCCAACCTGAAACTTCTCTGCCTCCTCCATGGCACATGAGCAGGGAATAATCCAACTTATGAAGCCCCAGCAGTTTTCCAAACTAACTCACCTTTTGGCCTCCGCTGAAGTAAAACATTTCATCCCAGAGACTCACTGGGAGGGATCGGCGCTCTCGCAGGTGCCCCTTCAGGACCAAGTTTCCTGTTCAAGACAGCTGGGAAACCTGCCATAAGGGACTCAGCTGTGCAGCTACACGCACGAAAGCCCATCCTTTGCAGAGCTACAACAACCAGTAAGAAAACACATTCAAATGGACTAACACAATGTGAGAGCAAGACTTCCTGCAATAAGCCTCTACATGGGCTTCCAGGATGCCGCAGCTTCAGCTGGGCCCACAGGCGAGTCTCTCTGAGCAGCACCAAAATACTGGTTCAGCCAGGCAGGGCTGAATAAACTGGGACAGCTCGTTAGCCTTATGCAAACAGAACTATGGAGTTTGCATATCCATCCCAGCTCCTGGAAAAAGCTGCAGTGTGAGAAGCTGCGGAGCCCCGAGGCCAGCTCGGCCAGCACCTACCCACAGCTCGCACCCTGCGCCCGAGCCCTGCTCGTCACGACAAGCAACAAGGCCAGGCTCATTCCCACACTTCGGACACTGCTCCGACAGCAGCGGCATCGCACACCAGCCATCCACCTGGCCTGAGGGGTGCTGTGTCCCAGGGACAATCTACTTGCTCCCAGGTGGGAAGGCAGAGAAGGAACACGGATTTCAAGCAGATTGGAGCAACAGCTCAGGGAAAAAAAAAAAATCCAAGCCCAGCTTTAGCAGCACCTTCCCCAGCATGACTGTGCAAGCAGAGCCAGAGCTCTCAGGGCACAGACACCTCTGGCAGACCCTTACTGTCACCAGAACCAGCCTGTGCATGGCAGGAGCTGCCAGCCACCAGGAAACAAGGAAAACCCATGGGCTCCTTCCTCTCTTACCCAGGCTCTGAACTCCCACAGTATCAACCAGGCAGGTGACAGCAATCTGAGGGGCCACACAGCAAGCAAAGTCCCGTCAAAATGCTTGGCACAGGTCAAAAAATAATAAATAAAAAGGCAGAGAGAAGACCTTTCTATGCAATGGCTGATACCAAATCTCCCCAAAATGGGTCTCTGCTTCACAGCAGGTGAGGATGA